ACATTATAGATGCTTCAACCTACAAATCTAAAAAATGAATCCAGATAGAGGAATTGTCTTAGTCATGAAGGATATAAAAGATTTCTGAAATTCAGAACTCCCTGATCTCAATTCTTTTACCTAAATTCACTGACCTTTTCTTTCCTCAGTGTTGAAAAAGAGACATGTTATAGAGAAGGCACTTAATTATTCTCAGTTTCAGCAAGAAGCACTTCTATTATATGTTCAACAAAGTTTTATTCACTTTTTCCAACTGAGAGATATTTAAGGGATTTCATTATATTTGAAGAAATGTTTCATCAGTCAGATGTTTAGCAGCCACTGAAAAGAACTTTACAATTAATCCTTTGTGACTCGGGTGTGACTTCTAATCTCTACACTAAGAAAAAATATTAAATATAAGGGAAACTATTTGTAAACCTTAATATTTCTTGGCAAAGTACAACTTCTTTGTGCTTATAAGAATATGGTAGAGAATTTAAATGAAACTTACATGCTTGAAATTAGTGCCAGATGCAACACTATTCAAGCGCAATTCACTACGTATTTGGTGTTTCACTATGATTTAGTAAAAGGTATTCAACAATTCTCTGTTTCATAGAATTCTCAACAATACAAATATTTCATTCACAAAATGCATGACTTGGCAGGGTTCCAGGGCAAGAATTTGCAGAAGAGGAGGAAAATTTATTGTTAAAAATAAATCAAGTGACTGACATTTTCCTTAGAAAATTGACAAAACAATACGATTCAGAAAATGAGAGTCTCCCAAGAGGAACCAAAAGAAAAATCTGAGCTACTATTTATGTTTATTATAGGAAACTAGTCATGTCATAAACAATCGGGTATTTGAGAAATCTCAAGTTAATATTAAGAAACTTAATTTTAAAATATCTATTTTTAAAGTAGGGGTTTCCAAAAACTTGATACTTATATATTTTTGGAGTACGGATATTGTCTCTGGCCATTTCACATTCAAAGGTACTAAATAATGACCATTACTTAATGGACTGTATGTAGAAGTAACCTAGGTAGTGCTTAAATACAGAAACATTATTCTTTTTTTGACAAAGGGTCTTGCTGTGTACTTCAGACTGGCCTTGGACTTACGATGTAGCCTAGCTGGTTTCAAACTGACAGCAATCCTCCTGCCTCAGCCTCAGTGCTGCGATTACAGGCTTAAGCCATCATACCCAGCTCAACCTCATTTTCTTGCTACTCCATGCCACTTTTTTTCCCTTTCTGCCTTCTCTTTTCTTTTTCTGGTCACACTTCTATCATTAGTAGTAATTGCTATGGATGGAGCATCTCCAAAATTGCATCTCCAAAATTTGTATGTTGAAGCTTTAATCTATAATGTGGCTATATTCAGGGATGAGGGCCCTAAAGAAGTACCTAAGGTTAAATAAGGTCAAAAGGATAGAACCCTGATTCAGTAGGATTTAGTCCTTACAAGGGAAGAGACAACAGAGAGCTTCCCCAACCTGTGTTCGCATGTGATCTCAGACAGTGACTGTTCACACAGCAAAAGAAGAGCGTTCATAATAAAGCCCACTTAGCAGACCCCCACCATTCACTACGTGAGAAATAAATTTTGTTCTTTGAGCAATCTATAATATTTTATTATAGTGGCACAAGCAGATTAGTACAGCAATTAAGCTCAAGGCAAACAGTTTCAACAGCAATTTCTTACACTACATTTCTTTACTTAACATTTTTTTTGAGACAGGGTCTTGCTATGTAGTTCAGGTTGTCCTTGAACTCACCATGTAGCCCAGGATGGCCTTAAACTTGTGGGGATCCTTTGGCCTCAGCATTATAAGTGTGAGTATTCCAAGCATGTGCCACCACACATTTTTTCGTTTTGTTTTGTTTTTTGTCTGTTCAAGACAGGGTCTTGCTATGCAGTTCAGGCTGGCCTTGAGCCTGAACTTGAGCACTTTATAGCCCAGGAAGGTCTTGAACTTGCAAATATCCTTCTGCCTCAGCCTTCCGAGTGCTGGGATTATAGGTATGAGCCACTATGCCCGGTTTACTTTGTATTTTTAAGATTTGATTTGGAAAAAAAAAAAAAAACTGTTTCTGTTACTTTTTACTCGTCTCTGAGACAAGATACCTGATGCCCAAAGTTAAGGAGGGAAAGGTTTATTTCCTACAGTTCTTGGAGGTTTCAGTCAATACTCAGTTGGCTCCAGCATAGCGCGGTGGGGCCACAGTTCACGGCACCTGCAAACAGCAAGGCAGAATCTGGCAAGAGAGACAGACACACCTTCTTCCTGCCACTACATCATATCCTGGCTCCACCCCTAGGTGGGTGTAGCACTCATATCATCAATTCAAGTGCTAGACAATGAACCAGTCACAAACACATAATTGCATGAGGCCTGGGGCCATTGACATAAATCATGACAACAACGCTGTGAGGAAGCTGGACAGGTTTGTCCTGAACATAGATTCATATAGATTCTTTTTTCATTAGTCTGTGTTTAGAGTACATAATGTTTACGTTCTTTGTGAGGAGTTGGTTCATATATGTGGCACATCTTCCTTTTTCATCCCATTCTCTCCTCTACCTCCCCTTCTTCCTATCTCTTGGTCCCTGTTCCCATTTGAGAAATAACCATCTCTCTACTCCCTGCCATCTTTTCAGTTTGCTCTTTGTTTATATTTTGAGTTTCTCATGGAAGGTAAACCATGAGATATTTGAGTTTGCATGTCTGATTTATTTCACTTAACATCATGATCGCAAAGTGTATCCACTTTCCTACACGTGACTCAACTTAATCTTTCTTTATTGCAGAGTAGTACTCCATGGTGTGTAAATACCACACTTCTTTACCTATTCATTTGTTGATGGATATGTGGGCTGCTTCCAAGATTTAGCTACTGTGAATTTTGCTGCTCTAAACATGGGTATGCATGTACATTGTAATATGATACCTTTAACTCTTTGAAGAAGATGCTTAGATGAGGAATAATTGGTCAAATGAAATTTCTACATTTACTGTTTTGGGGAATCTCCATACTGATTTCCACAGTGGTTGTACTAGTTTACATTGCAGTGGTTTTTCATTCCTTTGTCAGATTAATTCCTAAGTGTTTAATTTCTCTTGGTGCTATTGTGAATAATATATTTTTCTAATTTCTTTTCTTTTTTTTTTTTTTTTTTTTTTTTACTGGTACCAGGGATCGAACTCATGACCACACGCTTGCAAGGCAGGCACTTATGCCGCTGAGCTAAATCCCCAGCCCTCTAATTTCTTTCTTAATGGGTTCTTTATTGGTCTACAGGAATATTATTTATTTGTGTATGTTGATGTTGTATCTTGCTACATTGCTGAATTTGGTTATTAATTCTAGGAGTATTTTGGTGGATTTTTTGAGTCTTCTATGTAGAGGATCATGTCATCTGCAAATAATGATAATTTGACTTCTTACTGTACACATACTTTTTATTTCTTTTGCTTGTCTAATTTTTCTTGCTAATGTTTTGAGTACTATGTTGAACAGACATGGTGACAGTGGACATCCTTGTCTTGTTCCTAATTTTAGAGGAGAAGCTTTCAGGCTTTTTTCCATTTAATATGATGTTGGCAACTGATTTGTCCTAAATGGATTCTATACTTACATTCTTAAGTGCTTTTATTTTGAAAACATAGACTTTGTACATATTTTTTTCTGCATCTCTTGACATGGTTATGTGATTTTTGTCTGCTTCTGCTTAGGTGATATACTACACTTACTGAATTGAGTATATTGAACCATCCTTGCATCCTTGGGATGCAGCCTCATGATATATGATCTTTATTGATGATTTGTTGCAATATCTTTGCCAGGATCTTGTTGAGGATTTTTGCATCTTTCTTTATTAAACAGATTGAAAAAAAGAATTCATAAACTTTTGATCAAAGCCACTCAGTTTGTCAGTGAAGCACTTTGGCCCCAATCACCACTTGGTGAACACGTAGAGAGAATGAGTCATGTTGGTTTCTGCTAACCAGAGAGTGGCAAGGTATATGGAACTCAAGAGGACAATATATTAATACACATAGAACTGAGAGAAAGAAAAGAGGTAAGGGAAAAGGAAGGATGAATGAAAATGCCCCAGAAAGCACAGAGAGCATCTAAGATTTGGTCTCTTTTTAAAAAGTCAATTCACTATCCATATCAGTACTTTCCTCACCCTGAGGCACCAAGGGGACAGCAAGGAATGAGAAAAAACCAAGACCCTTTAAAATAAAATGTTCAGTGTACAGAGAAAAACCAACAGAGTTAAAAGATACTTAGAAAAGACTTGGATATAGCTCACTAATAATCATGCTGGGAAAGCCCTGCATGGCAGTACAAGCCTGTAATACCAGCACTCAGGAGGCTGAGGCAGGAAGATTGCCTTAAGTTCCAGCCCAGACTGGACTATATACTGAGCCCAAGGCCAGCGTGAACTAGATAGTAAGACCCAATGTCAAAAAAAAGGAGAAAAAGTGCCTAGGATGCACAAAGCCCTGAGTTTAATTGCCAGCATGGTGCCAAAAAAGGAAAAAAGGGGTTGGTGGACACAAGTATGGCTTGATGCTGGGAGGAAAACATGGGACAGCAGGTACAAAGAATAAACTGTCACCAGGTTAGAACCGGTTAGGACAACATATTAGGGCAATTAAGCATCTGTTGAAAATAAAAATATTTTTTAGATTTAATGTTTATTACTTTATTATCCTGTAACACGACATACGCATGTAAATTTTTAAGACTCACAGAAAATAAATAAAAAACTAAAAGAGAAAAATCAAGAAAAGAGGAGGGGAAAGTGAAGAAACCGCCTCCTTCAGGTCAACAGAAAAAGGAAGCCAAGCGAGGCCGTCACCATGGCGACTCCAGGACCAGAATAGCCCCAGCCAATTGGCTGAAACGCCACAGCCAATGAGAAAGCACGATATTGATGAGGTCTTAAAATGGATGCCGGCAGTCCGCTTCCTGATCGGTGAGTGCGGTTTCTTGCACAGCTGCTTCTTCGCGGGATCGGTCGCCGGCTTGACGGGTCCAGGGGCACCCCGTGAAGGGAGAAGAGGGGCTGGGTTGAGCCGCCTCACAGTTCCTTGACCGAAGTGCCGGGGATGGTTTAGAAAGGTTCCGGCCCAGGTCACGGAGGCGATGCTGTCCGCTCGGCTCGGAGGGCCCTTCGCGGCGCCTTCCCCAGCTAGTTAGTGGGAGGTTTCTCTGTCCCATCCCAGCCAAAGTGAGAAAGGGCGAGGAGCTTTTGAACGAGGAAACAGGCTCTTCTTTACCGTTGTCCGGGGTGCTTCCATTAGTAAGAAAGGCGGCAGGCTGGGCTTCCTACGCCGGAGTCCCGGGCGCTTAGTTCTGTGGCCAGGAGGGGCTGCTGCCCATTTTGGGATTGGAGTGCGGCACTGCCGTCAGAGCCTGCTGAGTTCCGGGTTGTACAGCCAAACAGGAAAAGGTGTACCCTTCTAGAGCCAGCCTCTTGCAATCTTGAAACTTGTAAGTATTCTCACGGCGGCATCGACTTCAAGTGAGCCTTGAAATCTTACTGGTTAATTTTAAATCTTTCCGTGCTAGGTCAAGGGTCTTGGGAAGTGTTTCCCAGGCCCCGTCTAAACAAACACTCTAATTAAACACGTGCATACATGCAAAATCCTGCTAAATAGTTTATCTGGGTAAGCAGATTGACAATTTAAATCCTAACAGATCTATTCTTCAGTTATGTTTTCCTCTGTCTTCTGGAGAAAACATTTGTTTCATGAAAGTAAATGAGACATTTACATTAATATTGATACTACTTGCTAGCAGATACTTAAGTAATTCCAAAGCACAGAACCTGATTATGTGTAATTATTTAGCAAAGTCTTTAAGGTTAGTGGATAGTGGCTTATAATTATTTCATAAGTACGACTATTTAGATTAGAAAAGATTCAGATTCGTGTGATTATTTGTAATTGAATACAGAAATATAAGATATAAGGTAACTTCATGTTTCTGTGATTATGTGAAATTGAATACAAAAATACAGGACATAGGATAGCTTTATTTGATAATAGAATTTACTTCTGGTCTGTTAGAGGCAGGAAACATTTATCCGTTGAGCTGTTCAGATTGTATCTTTGGCGATTTGGTTATAGGGAGTTGCCTGGTCTTTCATAAAATATTATCCAAACCACTAAAGATGACCTTCATATGTGCAGTTTAGTGTAACACCTTATATATATTTCTGTACTTCAGAACTACAGGAAAAATCCTAATTACATTTTAGCAAGTCTGTACTTAATAGGTTAGAATCATTCTTTGGACTCTTAAATATTTGTATTCTCCAAGAATGTGAACCCCTCATAGCTCTGCTTTCTAAAAATTCATAATTTAAAGCTACAGGATTCTACTTTTGTAAAGTACATGGATCACAGTATATTGGACAAGTGAGTTACCTCATCTGTGAAAAGGGTATAGGTAGTAATTTTTAGCGAAAAGATTGTTGTGAGGATTAATGGTAAACCAGTGCCTGCCACATTGTTTGTATGCCATGTGTGACAGTGACCTGCTTTATTTCCTGTTTCTGTTCTATGTTCTCTTGTAACCATGGTTTCCTTTCCTTTCTCTGTATCCTGATGTACAGACTGTGAACCTAATATTAGCTGGGCTGGTAGATAGAGCATGGAAGCCTTATCTCCTGGGATTTAGTCAGGATTGCATTAGTGAAAGAGTCCTCTCATAGATCATCTGATCACACATTCCTTTTAAAGCTTTAAAAAGGAGAACCAAACAAATACAGAGGCTAGAAAGCATCTCACTTGGAAGACAGTTTTTGCCCCTGTGGACAGTAGTTCCCAAGTCCTGCACAGTGTAGAACTCTTTTTGTTGCAATTTGAAATGTCTGTGGATTCTATATTTTGAAAATTAGTGTTTTACTAAACTGTGTTCATTGTTTTTCTTTAAAAAGTCTGGGCTATAAAGTCCAATGAGCATCTCTAGTGAGCTAAGGAATAATGAATGCTTTACTGAATTTGAATTTCCTTACCTAAGGGTGGATGGTTTTTTCCTCACTGGGAGGAAAAATATGTTGGGTTTTGTAAAATACTGAAATCAACTTAGTGATTCCAGTTACTTCCTTGATATAGATCAGGAACTACTAAACCAGTGCCTTACTGCCCAAGGGTGCTAAATAATGACTATGGCTGGTTTTCAAGGGCAAAAGAATACACAGATATTCAGACTAGTTTTGATGCAGAAATATTTTTAGTTTATAGTATTGTCAGCTCAGGCCTAGGATGTACTGCATAGTCATGCTAAATGTTTTGTAGGATAATTGTGGGTTAGAAGAAATAGTAAATTGGGAGGTGAAGTGTGTATGAAATAATAAAGAAGATGATATTCAAATCCATAGGAAGAAAGGTATTGTCAGTCATTCACATTTTCGTGTTATTTGGGTTATGGACTAAAAACTAAAAGCTTATGAATTAATACACTGTTACATGAATTAGCTATAACCCACATTAAAAAAAAGCTTCTGCGTCTTTGGTATTGCAGATCTATTGAGAATGGCAGCTGAGTAAATTCTCTCAGCTAAAGAATAATTTATAGCAGAGTGATCTGCTATGAAATAAAGAAACATTGTGAGGACATGAGTAAGAGACATGTTAAAGAAAAAGTCTTTCTATAGAACAGCTAAAAACAGTAATGACGGGAGGCCAGACATGGTGCCAATTAGAAAATGCGTAAATCACACACACGCGCACACACGCGTGCTGCATGTGGGAAGGCAATGTTTTCAAACAGGAGACCACAGCGGAAATCCCTAAGCTAGTCCATGATGCCTGATGAATGATGAGCTGCTGCTTAATAGGGCATTTCCATTTTGTAGGCTCCATAAGGAATGACAGCAGTTAGCTGTGCTTATCAGTGGCTACTGAGTCCCCAGTTTTTTGTTTGTTTGGTTTGCTTTTTAACAGTCATAAGAAAATGACACACGGCTGAAGATTTTCAAGAACTAAGTTGAAAAACATACCTTACTTGAATTTTACCTTGTATGAATTTGAAGGTGGGTTCCACTTTTTGAAGTTGTTTTAATTTTGCTTTTACTTTTAGTACACTCAGAACCATCCTGTTTGGCAAATGACTTGTTGAAGACAGTTCTTAATACCTACAGTGTCAGTGGGAACTAAACATAATTTTGAGAAAGTCTAAAAAGCCATAAAAAATGAATGACTACCCCATTATTGATGCCGTTTCCTGCCTACGTGTGCTGGTGTGGGCGAAAAGCCTGTGGAAGAAAGTAAGGCAGCTGAGACTGTGCCCTAGAGGGAACGTCAGTTGGGTACCCAGAGCATAGACCAGTGGTGTGAACCAGGTAGAACTTCCAGTAGCACAAACAGCTGGCTGCAGTGTGCCATAGGTTTGCCACCCCTGGCATAGACTGTCCTCGTGTAGAGATGCAAAAACTGGTCTAGCAGGTGCCTTGTAACTGCCCTTTGGGGGAAGCCTGCCCAGTAGGATCCAGACTGAGTTGACACTTGGCTGTGATTGACAGAAACTTACCCTGCATGTAGATGTCCCCCACGAGGTTAGAGCTTTCTGAGTGTTTTATGTCTTTCTGTTTCCAAGATCTGAAAGAGTGTTAAAAATGCCACAGACAGGAAATGCAACTGTGCTAATACAGACCCTGCTTATGTTAAGAATTTAAATTTGAAATTTGATACTGTCCTCAAGTTCTTAAACGGATAAGGAGCCTACAGGTATATTTTTACAGCCAGTGGCAAAGTCATGTTGGAGCATGGCTTCCACCCCTTATACAAAATGGTAGAAATATTTTTATTAATAGAATAGTAGTCATTTTCCAATATTGACATGTTTTATATGTTGTTTTTTATACTATCAGAGTATCTCAAGAGTGTCTCTGTTACAATTTTTAACATCCACAGGCTAGGTTTAAGAATGAGTTTAGGTTTTATGGGACCCGGATCTTGTAAAATTTTGAGTCTCTGCTTAAAAAAAAAAAAAGTGCAAATTCTGAGTAGAAATCTATTACCATGCTTTTAAAAATGCCTGTACAGATGAAAAGAACTGAAGTTTGAGCTCTCATCTCCCTGACAATTTACACTTCATTTTATCCCATGCAGAAAATCAGATGCCAAGTTTTTTAGTAGAAATTTCATATTAGACTGTGGAGATAGGGAAGGAACTAATTGTATCTGTTCTAAATGAATATATGTTGAAAACTTCCAAACTATATTGTGAATCCTGCCCATAATAGAAATGATAAAAGTGTAGTATATAGCCACAGAAATCATAGTAGTAAAAAGAAGTTAACATTTGTTGCGCTGCTAGGACCTTCTAAATACTGGGTTGGGTTCCTTGTTTCATTTAATCCTAGGACCATCTACAGTCAGTATAATTATCCCTGTGTTATAGATAAAGAAACTTTATGCTACTAGTGGGTGGCGGAGCCTGGATTCCAGTTGGTGGAGTTCCATTCTCCTTACAAAGCCAAGAGAATACTTTAGGATGTTTCAGAGAACCAGCAACTAATGAGGCTAAACAAAAACCACAAAACATAAAATCTAATTCTTTGGACCTAGGAGGAGGTTTTTAAAAGAGATTCCTGCAGAGTCCCTGATGTCTTTGTTTCAGATATAATGGAAATTTTTTTTTCTTCTTTGGTTAATCAAAATTTTTAGCAGCATTCTCAACAAAACAGATTTCTGTCCTTCTCTGTTTATCCCTCTAGATTGATAGTAGGTCATGAGCAGTACAGATCCTGTATTGTAGCCATCTTTTGAGTGAACTTATTCGGCTTAGTACGTGTATAAAAAGTAGGTTGTGCTATAGAGACCAGTGATAAATATGTGCTTAGTTGTCATCTTAGCAAATGATTCCAACTCTAATTTTAAAAAATCATTTTCATTAACTTAGTAATAATGATTCTGTCAGTGGACTGTACAATTAATGTTAAATGGTGTCATCCTGAATTTTAACATTAATTTCCCAAATAGTTTTTCATTCAAAAACACTGTATGTACAATACTGTTTAATTGTACAATTTAAAAGTAAGATATTCTTTATACTTCTTCAAACTGATCAGCTTGAATTTTTTTTTTTTTGTCTTCTTGCTATTTACACAATAAGTCCCCTCAAAGTTTTATACTTTCAAATATAGGGGAAATACCCACCTTTATTGTGCTGTTTAGTTGGTATAGTTAGACATATAAATACATTGCCTGCAAAGTATACTGGTTTATAACATTCTTGAGCAATGGATGTTTTACTGAATTTCTGTGTTTTTAGAAAAAATTACCCAAATATTAGAAAACTCAAGCTCCTGGGTTTTTTTTTAAATCTTTAGGTATATTTTGAAACACTAATTTAACCTGCTTTTAATTTATTTGAAATTATACAAGTGAAGATTCTAGCTATTTTAATGTAGAGAGTTCTAAGATTCAAAAAACAAAAAAGTTTATGTGTATTGTTCCTAGACCAGTGATAGACTGGGCTTGGGCTGTCTTTTAATTGTTTTAAAATTGTTTCCAGTGCTCCTGTTTATGTTTTAATTCAGCTTTTTCATTCTAGAAGAAAAGATGTGGAGTGGACTGCTGCCTCCTGGCCTAAATGAAAGTGATATTGAGTTGGATTCTGAAGATGAGGCCACACGGCAGAACTTTGATCAGAACTTACAGCAAGATAAAGATGGGATCATTAGAGAAACAGAAGTCTCAGGTTTCTCAGCTGATGAACCAAAACCTGAAACAGAGACCAAAGCAAATGCATATGAAGAGTGCCCTTCTGGAATTCCCTTAAATATGTGGAATGTAAGTGTTTTTGTGTTTTGTTTTTCACATGCCCTTGTGAAAGCGCGTGCACATGTGTCTCTGGCTTTTCTACGATGGTCAGAATATGTGTTCTTGGGATGCAGCAGGTAGGCAAGTTGGACCCAAAATATTTTTTACTGTTCTGTCTCCTAAATCTTCAGACACTTTTGATATTTTGATTTTTTTGCTGTTTGTCATTGAAAGAGTAAGGAAAAAAAATACTACATAAAATGAACTATTGTGCCTGATCTGATAAAGGAGTTTCTCACTTCATCTGTTTTTCTGAGTCATTTCGTTTCACTCTCAATTATCAAACAATTTAACACCAAAAGTAGTGAATACCAACCTCAGGTTGTGAGCATCTCAGTAATAGAGTATATCCTACTTTCATTAATTGATATCTTTCTAAATGTCAGAATGTTTTTACTACTTAACACATTTGTTGTTTTTAAAATACATGATTTTCTTCAATGTATTTGTTTTTTAAACTGTCACATAGAAATTTCAAGAACTGCATAAAAAACGTTCTGAACAGAAAACTTTAGCCTCAAGATTCAGAAGGAAAAAGAGAAAACGCTCCAGAAAAGGTATTATGTTTTTCTTTAAATTCAGATTGTCAGTAGTCCCAGTGCTAAATTGTGACTAATTGACTGATTGAAGTAATTTTTTAAAACATGATTTTGAAATAACTGAAATTGTGATGCTTTGTGAATTCTTTTCAGATAAACTGAAGAATGAAAAAGAATCTCAAAGGTAGGTAGAATTTAAAAATAGTTTGTTACTTTGGGCAGTATTTGTAGAACTTGTCTGAATAGCTGAACTACTCATTTCTGATACTAATCAAACATAAAGACCTAATGATTATAATTGTAGCAAATGAAACAATAGAAATTAAAATGAGTAAAGAAAAGTTAAGAATGTATTTTCTTACAGTCAGCAGTCCTTACATGAAAATCAGTGGAAGGAACTTACTCAGTACTTTGGAGCCAATGATAGATTTGAACCCCCGGTTAAAAAGAAAAAGGTTGAAAAGGTAAGATTTTTTAAATTGCGTTTTGGTTTGTGATTAGTCTTGTCCAAGGTACTTGTCCATTAGTTCATTAGGTTAAAAAGTTAAAACAATTATTTTGTACCAAAAAGATTCCAAATAAGCAAGTAAATATATAGTTACAAATAGTTAAAAAACTTAGAAGGAAAAAAATAGGTTGCAATGAGAAACATGGAATGAGACCGTCCCTCGCTTTAGTTTGGGGAGTCAGGGAAAGCCTTTTTTAGAAGATACCATTTCAGTGAAACCTACGGGGTGGGAGGAAGAAAACTGCATGCACGATGATTGTGCAGAGGTAGCAGGGGTCAAGATCCCAAGGAAGAGTTACCTGGGGCCTTTGAATAACTAAGAAGGCCCGCCTGGCTGGAATTGAATCAGCATAGCAAGGGTGCCCAAGATTAAATTGGTCCGGCTGCAGGGAGGGCCCCAAATGAATAGGACCTTCAGAGACATAGTAAGGAAGTAGCTTTTATTTACACTACAATTAAGCATCTTTAACGAATTTTAAGTCTGTACAGTGATGTAATCAAATTTATGTTGGAAAAGATTGCTTGGTTATTAAATATGGAGAAAACATTATGGGCAACAAAGGTAGATAAGAGAACAGTGAAACTTCCCGGCACAAGATGATACTGAATTGAACAAGGACGGTGCTGCTGAAGATGGAGAAAACTGGGTGAATCTGAGAAATAGTGCAGAAGTAGAATCAGCTGCTTCTGCATTGTGTATGAATTGCTGGAGAGGGTTTGGGGCATAAGGGGGAAGAGAATGATTCAGGGTTTTGTCTTAAAAGTGATAATTATGGTGCACAATGTTATGTAGGGTGATGAGAAATATTGAGAAGGAAAAAGATGTTCGAGTGAAGCCTATACAGGGTTCATCCTGGGACATGGGTGTTAGGTGGCACACAGAACAGAGTATATGGTTAGTAAACCGCAGTTCAGGAAAAGAGAGGCTAAGGCTGAGAAACAAAGTTCTCAGTGTAGAGAATGTGGAAAAGGTTTGAAGGAGGATCTCACAGATTCACACAAAGGAGTGCTAACAGGTTAAATGCGTATGTGTATGCAAAGTAGGCCGTGCGGTGGACTGGCATGTGCTTAGATATCCTCTTAGCAAATGATTACAACCCTGATTTTTACTAGGACTTTTTTCTTTGTATTAGTCTTTGTAGTTACTTACAGTATTTGTTAGGTTTTCTCATAATTATATTGACTTTAGAATGCCTGAATTGTTTTCTTCCTGAAATTCAAGTCATGAAATGAACTTTATAGCCTTTCTAGAAAGTAAAAATTTAGAGAATGTTTTTTATAGTCTTGTCCTTTTTAGAATATTATTGTCACATTACATAGGAAATTACATCTTTTCATTGCTGGTCACATATGACTAGGTCTTACTGTCTAAATTTGGAATTTGTTTAGCATAGGTTACTAGGATTTGTTGTAGTACAAAGTCTTTTAAAGTCAGTTTTAAAACTAGTGTTTTTTTTACATGTGTTAGATGTTTTCAAGAAGAAAATTGTGTCAAATGCCATTGTAGGAGTGAGATCTCTATTAAAGGGAAAGTGCTGTAAGTCACCTGTTGTTCTGTTTCATAATTTTGGGTTTTCTTAATGCCAGCATTCCTTTGTGTAGCTAAGATAAGAAAGTTAGGCCAGTCTTCTGAACAAGGAAACTGATGCTGGTCAGGCTGGATTTTGCCGGTACTTAATAGTCTACAAGTAAATGGAAGCATAAGAGGAAAGAATGGATTTGTTGAGGCTGAATTGTTTCATGTTCTCTTGGGAGTCCATTGTAATAATTGCTTGCCAGCAGGCCCACACTTCTTCTTTGGTTTGGGGTCATGGTTTTATATGTCACCTTTACACTGCTGGGCTAAAGTTGCTACTGTGAGTAGAGTAAGTAAACTGTAAAGAATGTCCGCATTGGAGGACCAAGATAAAAGCTGTGAATAAATGTAAGCCCAGCAGATAGTTGGTACTGTTCATGCAGTCTGGTGAGGATCATGAAAACCTGTGATACATTGTGGACAAAACTAGCATAGAGTTCCAGTCATTTACTTTATTTCTCTGGCACAGAAGCTGATCTGTTACCATATCTTAGAGAGACTTTTTATTTTGTATTCACTCAGCCCTCAAAGAACAGTAAAGCAAAACAAACTTCTTAATCTTATGTCTATCATGTAGTGTTTTTCTTTGCCTTTTTTGGAACACTGCCATGCTGTAACTGTTGCTCAGCCCAGAATGTGTATTTACAACACTGCTGTCACCTGCTTGCCAGACAATGCAAAGAGGCTTGTGTTTTAAAATGTAATCTTCCTAATATCCAAAGCTGTTTTAAAGTGTTCTTTGTATTAAATACAGCTATAATTGTGTTTTTGGCAGCAGTTCTGGGACTTACTAATAATTCTGTAATCATGACATAATTATTTTTGAATCTATGTGGGAATTATTATTTTGAATCTATGTGGGAATTTCTTTAGAATAAATTTCAGTCATTAATTTTACTATAAAAGTCTCAAGTATTCTTTAGTTGAATCAATTTGATTAGTCAGTAGTCATTATTACAGTAGTTTCAGTGTACCTAATGGATACTTTTTGGCAGGAAAACTAGAGTTACTTTTAATAATTGTTAGAGTATTTATATAATGTCTTTGATTTTTTAAAATGTTTTTTAGAGAGGAACCTGCTGTTGCATAGTGTGTCTTTTTCAAACTTTCATTTGAAAGTAGAATGCTTATTCCATTCAGACTCTTAGTGTGGAGCTGCAGCACACAGACCAGACAAAAGTCTGGCTGCCTTGGGTAGGCAGGGAGGGAGGTGCAGGAGTGGGAGTGTTGTGGTGGCACCATGAGTTTCCCCTGGTATCAGTTACAGAATGTTGTCTCCTGAGCCCTCTGTGACCCCCGCGGGGTGGGTAGTCAGGGCCAGTGCCAGTTCTCATACACATGAAGAAGAAACTGAAGCTTGATGTAATTTGCCTAACGTTTTGTTAGGCAAGAAATGAAATGAAACTTAAATTCAAGTCTTTTGGTCCCATGTCTAGATTTTTCTGAATAGCTTGTTCAGTTTATACTTACTTACCTCAGATGATCTAAGTAAGTAAAACTTATATATAAAGGGTAACAGTCATAAATAAGATTTTATAAATAGGATCGATCAGATTTATATTTGTATAAAATGTCACACACTCCTGCCTTTATGGAGAAATAGCTTCATTTTTTCCCCTAAATATTTAGGTCCAGTCCAATAGTAAAACATTATTTCAGTAGATAAGTTATTTATATTACATTTTAAAAATTAAATGTTATCTAAATGAATAAATATTTAGTAGTAAAATTTTTGTAGAAATATCTTGTGGTATTTGGCTTAAAGAGCTTTAATCACAAATCAAAAGACAGTCTATGTATGCATGTATGGATGGCTAGTCCATAATGTTAAACTGAGTACCAATACATTTTGTAATGTTTGTAGTCATGCCTTCTTGACATCTGCAATGAAACTTTATTAAGTAGATCTTGGTTGTTGCCTCATGGGAACCTGTTAGATACTACCGTTAGATGAATTTTTCACCTGTGGCCAAACTGCCTTTCCCAAATTTGTATGTCTGCATTGAAATGTGTCTTAAGTTCTGTTTCCAGCTGAAAGACACCTTAGATGCACAGCAGGCACTGTAACTATTGGCACTACCCGGTCCCACGACCACTCTCTTAGTGTGTAAAATGTCCTGGACACATCAAATAAAGGGTCCAAATCCTGTGAGGCTTCTCACTGACTCTAAGTTAAATTTTTTTCTGCAGCACCATTGTAACCAAGGGGTCCCTAACCAGTTGATCCAACACAATGACTCAATAAGTTAGCCACCCACTATTAGTTCATGGACAGTGTTGGCAAAAATAGATTTCTCTTTACTTACTGATGAGTCGTCATTCTAGGTTCTGGTAAAAAGGACAGCAACACTCAGGTCTTCCATAATGTCAGGAAGCTGAGATAATTATAAGGGAACAAGCAGGCAGACTTAAGAATATATTATTGGAGGGGCCGGGGTTTCAACTCCGGTGGTGCACTGCCTATCTGGCAGGCATGAGATCCTGACCTGGTACCAAAAAAAAAAAAAAAAAAAAAAATCTGGCTTGTATAAGAAACATTACTGATCAGGCTGCTGAGGTGAAAGTTTGGAGAGGTCTGTATAGACTGATCATTTGAATAAACTCTTCACATTGAGCTAGCAAGCTACCCCAGGGTTTGTGGTGCAGGTACAGTTCAGTTTGATAATAATGTTAGGTCTCATCTGTCTCAAAGGCATTTGAAGAATTAACTAATGTTCTGTACAGGAAAGAAGAGCCTATTGTATCAACATTTTACAAATAAACTTTATTTTCAATATAAATTAGATAGTAAGTACTAGGTACAGTTACTGTTTAAATTTCTGGGAGCCCATAATGGAGAACATATTCCCCATGCCCTCAAAATACATGTTTTAATAGCCAGCAAGATTTATATAAACAACCATAACATGTGGCCCCCCCCCTTTTTTAAACTATGAGGGCATTTTTACCTCAGTATTCCTATTGTAGAAGTCACCTTGGGACTTCTCAAAGCAGTGGATGTGTAGCAAATGTTCCAGGGTGGGTGGGATCATTTTAGTATCCATAAGTATAGATTAGTGCTCTGTGCATGTTAACTTGGGAGCATAGACTGACTGACTGGAGGAACTTGGCTGGCTTTGGGGGCATTCCAAGCCAGCGAGAGTCTGCTATATAGCTGATGTGTAGAACCCAAGAGAGGAAACTGTGTCAGATCAGTAAGTTAAAGGGAGATGTGAATGTGCCCAGGAGTGATCTGGTGTGGGGCTATGGAGGGGTGGCAGGGTTAGTAGGTGTAGAGCCACAGAGAGAGTAACATTTGGTGTGAGCCTGGAAAGGTAAAAGAGTTTTCAAAGGGAAGCACATCAGAGGCTCAAGGAACATTAATAAAGTGGTAAACATGGCCAGAGATTGGCAAGTATCATATTGCTGAAGACAAGGTTGAGGAAAAAGTCATCTAGACCAAACTCTGTTAGCCATGCAATTGATTTGCATCCTGGTTCAAGCGCCTTAACTTTAGAGGGATCAAAACAAACAGTTCATGGACTGGCACATTTGCAGGCCACTGCTGGTACCTGGAGCAGCACTGGGTTAGAGTGTGGAGTTCTGTGGTGAGTAGAATTGCAGCTTTTCAAAATGAAAGGTGTTAGAAAAGTTGAGTTTAAGGGGTCACTTAGACCATCAAGAGAAGGGTTCCACAGAAATATGAGAAACACAAATTTCTGGAGGTTTGGCAAAAAAAGTGAAGAAGGCATCAGAGCGTGCAACTTGGGGTCAGAGATTATGAAGAGCAGCTGAGTGAAGGTCTGCAGAAGCTAGAGCTGACCTGTCTTGTGCCTAGGGTTTGTAGAAGGGTCTTCATGTAAGGACGTACGGCAGTGACAGCCTCACCGGACTTAGGTTTCTCTGATCATTTTTAGACAGATTATGTTGTTTTCAAAGTCTCATTTCAACAAAGGCTGCATGGAACAAAATTTCTCTAGTTGACTGGTAAGCAACATACTGATAGGGAGACATTAGTACTTTCGTTATTAAATGGGTGGGGGGTTCAGTCTGTAACTCAATACTTGGAAATTTGAGGATGTATTGCGTAAGCCATTGTTAGGATAAAAATTTTTTATAAAAAGTATAAGGCTTTCTAAATTTTTTTAGTTTCTATAATATTTGCACAAACTAGAGTTCATTTTATTTATTTATATCAACACATCTTTCCATAAATTCATAAGTCCGACCTAGTCTGGTAATCCCATAAAATTTTAATTATGATTTCTTGAAGCATCTTTGGTAAAATGAAACAATTTCATAGGAAAATTAAATCATTTTATGTCCTGTCATCCTGTGTGTAACAGTCAGCCTGGTGTCCATGGTCAAAGGCAGTAAAGGGCTAGGAGGGAAACTCTTGCTCTATAGGATGGCAGCACGATTCACTGCGTTATACTTAAGTATGCTGTCTTTGGCCAGGTTGCGGAGTCTTCAGACTGTGTTGTTGTCTTTCAGTGTATTTCATGGAGTAATTAGAATTACATGAGCTTTCTTGGTAACTAAGCCCAGAGTCTACCAAATAATAATCGTTCCATAAGTTTTAACTATTACTATCATTAATGTTGTTATTAAGGGAAATCTTTGGATTAATCTGAATTTGCAACTTCTTTTTATTATTAATTGAAGATATTGTACAACCTCAGGTAGGTTATTTCATGTTTAAGACTTCTTGTCCTTGAATTATAGTAGCAACAGCCTTGTGGGGTTACCGTGAGAGTTAAATGGCCTACACGTGTACTGGGTTTAGTGTGGTACTGTGACCTAGTCTTTGTTAGCAAATTGTTGCTTTCCTTTCCTGGCCTTAATGTTTAGGGTTCTTTTCTTTTTAGTCAGGCCTTGAAAAGAGGATAGACCAGGCTGTGGAGGAGTGGGATGTTGAGAAGGCCGAAGAGCTCAGCAACCAGCTAGCCACTCGAGAGGTAAGTCAACCTGATTAACCTTCATCTTTGTTTCTATTTTTTTTTAAATGAATCTTTATTCTTTTTATGTTCATTAATAAATTCAATATTCAAATACTTGATTTAAGATTTTCCTTTTTGTCCATTTATTTTGCTACTTTTGCTTTTATTTTGAAATGCTAAGCTTTACTCTTTAATGTTCTTAAATTTTCCAATCTAAAACAATGCTAGAAATAATCCATGATTGATATTCAACTCTAGTTTTACCTAGATTAGAGACCTTTTTTTTTTCCAGGTGGGGTTTCTTTTTACAATTGTATCTTTAAAGTCTAACTGCTGCTGAAGGTAGCTATATGTTCTAAGATCACATCCTTTAACCTTTGCTTAACGCTTGCTAAAATGCTTTCTTAGTATGTATTAGATTATATACTCCTCCCCAGCCCTAGAGAATTTGAAGCTTTTCCCCTCTAGTCTATATAGTATAAAACTACTACGTAAACTGAGTATTCGTTTCCCACTGCGGAAAGGCTCATGAAAATCTTTTGCTCTGTGAGAACTGCGTATGGTGGCAAGGGCATGCATGCAGTTGAGACTTGACCTCATAAAGAGCTCATATTGGCATGTGTTTTATCACTTTTTAATTCCTTTTTGTTCTTGTTAGAAAAAGTCTCTACCCTAGTTTGTGTTCCTAGTGCCTGGATCCTTGTTCCTGTACTTCATTCTCAAACCATTACTATTTCTGGTGTTAGTTACATAGAGAGCATCATCTGTGTAGACCACTGGCCGAGCTGAGTTTTCTAACTCGGAGCAGGTGAAATTTTCTTTCTAAGCTGAGACTTGAGATAATGTCATTTCAGCAGACTGTTCCTTACAAATACTGCATCTCTTCTCCCATTGGATGTCCAAAAAAAAAAAAAAAAAAATCACCCATTGCTGGCTGTTAGTTGGAATTTCTGTCGTGTTTCCCCCCCCCACCCCGTTTTTGGCCTCAGGGTTTAATGATTTTGTGAATTTTATACTTTTTATGTAGAAAAACAAGTTCAGAACAGTAGCATATGGATTCAAAATTATCTTTCTTTTTCTTTAAAGTCATTTCCCACATGAAATACTAGTGTGGGTAGTATGTATATACCTGTGTATTAATGACATACAAAGGAAATTGGAAAGCCATGGGCCTCAGTCAGGAACACTGGCAAGAAATAAGTTTAAGTGTCAGTTTTGTGACTTTTCAAAGAGCAAGATTACATTTTTAAAAAGTGTTTTTTATGGTGGTAAACATAAAATTCATCATCTTCCCCCGTACCTGCATTCAGTTTGTTATATAGCCACTGTTCATCTCTTTATCTTGCAAAACTAAAACTCTGTACCCATTAAATAGTAACTTCTCATTGGGAACCATTCCTGTCTCTGAATTTCACTCCAGTACTTCATATAGTTGGCATCATAAAATGTGCCCTTTAGTGTCTGGTATATTTCAGATGCCATTAAGGTCTTCAGAGTTGTCTGTGTTATAAATGTTAGAATTTGTTTCCTTTTTAAAACTAATATGCTGTTGTACATATTTGTGACATATTTGGTACATTTTGATTGTGATTCAACTGTCACTGCATACTTCGTATTACTCAGCTTTTCATCGCTGTTATAAAATATCTGGGAAGATCAATTTAAAAGAGGTAAGATTTGTTTAGACTCATACTTTGGGAGTTTTTAGTCGGTGGTTGCTTAGCTTTGTTGGGTTAGGGCCTGAGATGGGATAGAACATCATGGTGGAGAAGGCGTAGAAGAGCTTCTCCTCTGGGCACTTAGGAAGTGAGAGAAAGCAAGAGACCTCATGATTCAGTCACTTCCCAAAGTCCATCAGCTGATAACCGATCCTTTAGCACATAGTAGAAACTTCATATTTCAGCCATGACAGACTTGACTATTGCAAATAATTTTCTGTGAATGTAAGTGTCCAAAGATCTGTTTGAATCCTTGCTTTGAATTCTTTTGAGTATATAGTAGGAGTAAAATTGCTGTACCATTAAAAAGTTACCATTTTTAGCTGGGCATGGAAGCTCACGCTTGTAATCCCAGCACTCGGGAGGCTGAGGCAGGAGAATCGTGAGTTTGAGACCAGCCTGGGCTACAAAGTGAACTCAAGGCCAGCCTGAACTGCATAGCGAGACCTGTTTCAAAAAGACAAAGGAAAAAAAAAAAGTTAACATTTTTGCCTTTTTCTTGTAAGATATTTTCCTTTCTTACATTGTAATACTTGTGCTTGCAGTTTGATGGATACAAAAATAATCCTGTTTTATTTTGTTAGTTTCGGCTCTCGTATACCTTTTTATTGCTGTATTTTTTAATAGAAACTTGAAGATACTGTGTTGTAAGAAGATGTTGAATCTTCTCACAAACTGAGGGTTTCAGTGTTTGTTGGTTGTTACAGTGTCTTCTACAGTATTAATAAGATAAAGATCCTTATTCCTGCATGGTGAGCTGTGTCAAAGATGAACTCTTAAAAATTCCATGCAAGATAGTGTTTTTTTGGTTGTTAGTAAGTAAACTATTTGGCGCTTGAAACTTACATTTCCATAGAAGGGCTCTTTGGGAAAGTGGCTCAGTTTCCTGGCCAGCTTAACCCAGCGATAGCAAAGTTATACCAGTAGTGTAGCTAATCTCCACATTGGGTGAAGTTGCCTGTGAAACAACATCAGGAGTGGTAGGGAGAGGCAGTGCTGCCGGGGTGGGAAGAGCCCCAGTGAGTAGGTAACTGTTACAACGCTAAGGATCAGGTGTGTACTAAGACATCATGATGGGGGTACAGAAGAGTAGCTGAAGATCTGAGGGGGCTTTCAGAGCCCGAAAAGCACGCAAGCAGCAACAATCAGTCACTGGTCTGTGTCACAATTTAACAAAGGATAGCAGAAGCTAGTGGACATGTCAAAACCTTTTGGCAGACTGGTGCTTAAATGTAGCATTGTTGATAAAGTATTTCATGTTGTTAAGCAAGTGTCTCATGAATCCCTTTAGAAATTCTAGCAGTGTGTTAATTGTTGCTGTTGGATGCTCACTGGTCTGGAGACAGCTAGATAGTTCCAGTAAAGCATAGTACAGGCACTTAAGTAAGGAGAAACAGCCAGACCAGAGTATGACTGCCCTGTTGCTTTTACAAGTGCTGTGAATGTCATCAGTCTGTTCAGTAGTGCAGGATGTGGCAAACTGGTTTCTCACTGTCATTGGTTATGTAACCTTCCTTTTAAAAGACCTAAGAATTGTATACTGTATGATCTCTACCAAATACCGTGGCAGCTGTGAGGGCAGAGTTGCCCAGTCAGTCAGTTTCCTAGGGCATGTGCCTTTAAGGGAAGAAAGGTGAGGATAAGGCAAACGTAGGCTGCAGTATTACTAAAGTGTGGGCACCCTGTGGCCCATCGCCTGCTGTCCAGTTTTCCTCTTTCTCTGTTGATTAGCACACTCCCAGAAGTGAGGGGAGTTCTTTGAGAGGCATTCATTTTATTGCAGGTTCTGTATTCTTTTTATTAGTAGAATTAGTATCTGAAGTTTTGAACTGAACACATTTTACTTTAAAAAGAAAAGTTACTTTGAAATTATTTGACTTTCGGAAAGTTGGAAGTTTACAAAGAGCTTTCCTTTCCAGACTGTGTGCTTTAAATTTACTAATTATCCTACTGAATTCCTTAAAAAATAATATTTATCTTAGAAGTAGTTGTTCAAGTTACAAAATCAAAGCATAGAAAATGGATAATCAAACTTTGACAGTACAAACTATTCTGTTTGATGAACTAACAAAAACTTAGTAGTATGGTTATTCATCTTGCACACTTAAAACATACATAGTTATATCCTTTAGAGCACTTTCTTTCCCTAACAATATGTAACTTACCATCTAGTGATTTCTTAATGGTTTTTTTAAAATTCTGTATTATTTCTATCCATTTTATCTGTTTTGCCTTTTTTTCCTAAATAAAAAATATCTAACTTTAAAAAAATAATATATATCTTGATCTATGACATTATCTTGTTTTTTAGTTTTTTTCACCTTTAATCTGGAATAGTTCCTCAGTTTGTCTTTATTTCTCAGGACCTTAACATTTTCCAAAAGTGGAGGTCAGTTATTTTGTAGGATCCCCGTTAATTTTGGTTTGTCTGTTACATGCTCACAATTGATTTCAAGCTAGGTAGTGTGGGCAGAAAAAGCACAGCAGTGATTGTTGTGTCCTTCTCACCTGCTGTCTCCTCATACCATTCATTAATGGGATTGCTTTGGTTATCTTGATTAGGGTAACCTCTCCACTGTAAAGTTACTGTTTTCCCCTTTGTAATGAGTAGGGAGAAAAGATAATCTGAAACTGTAAATATTCTTCTCATACTTTCCTCCACTAGTTTTAACATCTTTTGCTAATTCTTTTCTGGCTCAGGACATTATGATTTATTACCATCAGATAACTTTAGATGTCTAGAATATGAATTCATTGTACTTTACGTCTTGGCCTATCACATGTGAAATTTTTAAAGTGGGATACTAGATTAAAGAATCCTTTCTGTATCTTAGTAAACCTGGATAATTTCCTGCATGGGAGGCAGTCACCATGATCCTTTGCCTAACAGCTATTACCCCTGTTTGTTCCCTGGTGAGCTTGCCCTGCTGAACACAGCGTGAGGCTGCCTGCGAGAACATCGGGCAGAGACTTGATAAAAATGTGCATGTGTTTCTTTGAGGGTACAGTATTGTGTTTCTGCTTTTGGTGTTTTGTCATTTGGCTATTTCAGAAGTAATTTTATAATACTTGGTGTTTTCCACTTAAAGGACTGTTTTTTTCTTGTCATATCTTATGGAAAGTGAGATCGCTTCCGAAATATGTGATAGGGTTGGGGATATAGCTCAGTGATATGGTGCCTGCCTGGCATCACGAGGTCCTGAGTTCAATTCCCAGCACAAAACAAAACAAACAGCCAAAAAAACCCCACGATATTTCCAGGACTTTATAAAAATGGGAAACATTTTTCTCAGTTATTCT